TTCCTCTCTGAGGTTTCTCTCTCTATTTCTTTTCACTGACTCCCTTATATGTTGAAGGTGGAGGAGGGAGGAACTGGACACTGGGCCTCTTGATATGTATGATGTATGTATGCAGACTGGATGTCTCAGTTTTTCACACTCCAAGTGTGTAGACTACACTTGCCATTCCAGATCTCACTTTACACACCTACAGATCTGTGGGGGGCATGAGTAAGGAGAAAAATGCAGGAGATGTTCACTGCTTGCTCCAGCTGCTTTACCCCCTCTCCTGTCAGTCTCCTATCCTGCTCCCACTCTGCTGAATCTAAAGTAGCTGGATTAGAAGTGGGTGGTCTTTGGCTCCACTTCTCCTGCTGTGGATGCTATGAGCCACTCACGCTCAGTATAGAACATCCAGTGCAAAAGCAATGTAGAAAGTACGTACTGCTGCCTCTGCAGTACGCTGACCATTCCTTGTAGAGGGCAGTCCAGCAAGCCAGGTAGCCGGCTTTGGCCAATCAGATTTGACCCAGAGACTGAAAAATGAAAAGCACTGCCTTTACCAGTCTGTATGGTCAAGAACTGATAACTCGGTGCATGAGCCTAGCTATGGCTTGGGCTGTTTCTTACAAAACTGGCAGAGCAAAAACACACAGGGAGGACTTCAGCTGACAACCGGGATTATCATGCTGAGGGATTTTAGTACTCTCAGTAGTTAAAGGAAAGTGGTGACTGGGGGAATGTATAGGAGTGTACTAACAAAATGTAGAAGACCCGGGGTCCTCTGACAGAACAAGACTAAAGCAATGGGTCCAACCTGACTCAGAAAGGTAACCATGTCAGGCTTTAGATCCTAAGCATAGGATCACAGGATAACTGGGTTGGAAGGCACCTCCTGAGGTGCAAACTCCTGTTCAAAGCAGAGTCAGCTATGAGGTTAGACCAGGTTATCTATGGCTTTATCCAGTCTAGTCTTGAAAACCTCAAAGAATGGACACTGCACAACCTCCCTGGGAAACCCCTTACAATGCTTGACACTCCTCACTCAAAAAGTTTTTCCTGATACCCAGTGTGAGCATGTCTAGTTTCTCTTCTCCCACACTTCAAAAGTGCTATTGGTTTTTAATTTCTTGGAATATTTTCCCACCATTTTACATTACTTCACAAAACATGTTTGCTGCAGGTTTCTGTGCAAACACATGAGAGAAATCAGAGACAACACTGAAAAAAAACCCAGAGAGCAATCTTGAGCTTAATAGGCTTGAGTTTTCTATTAATCTAAATCCATTCAGGGAATTAAAAGAAATCTTGCCACACTAGTCAGAATAGCCAAAGTTAGGAGATGTCTAAGCTGTGGTCGAAGGTACACTTGCAACGCATTCATACATCTATGCAGGCCTGAAATCCTAAACTTGGCTAATTCAGTTACTGACACCAATCAAGCTGATCTTTGGCATTTAGTTGGTACTCAAATATCTACAAGTTCCTAGCTGGATTTTGCAACCTTAACTATGTAGCAATCTCAATGAAAACCTCCTGTACATTGCCTGAAATTGAGTCCCAGCTATGATGAGAGTTGCTAGATAGCTCTTTAAGAACTATGATGGGGTACCACCAATACAAAGACCTGACTTGTAGCTATTACCAGAGGCAGAAGCCAAGCTGCAATGCTCATTGTGTAACTGCTATCATGCCACGTTACACAAGGCACATGTATAACATTGAGATGTGACTGGATATCAGCTTAGACTTTTAAGATCACTTTTTAGCTTTTTCCATACCCCAAGAAATCATAATCTGATCATTACCATTGTGTGTGTCCTCTATAAAACTACAAGACGTTATATGACTCTGTTACGACCCTTTCAATTACTTTTCCCCAGGGAGAAATAACCAGAAAACTCATATTTGGGAAAGAAAATGTAAAGTTGCACATCACTAAACATGTGCAAACTATGACATAGATCATAGTAAAACATCCCTGCGGGAGATGAAGAAATCATGTGGCTTGCTTAAAATTGGAATGGAAAAAGGCCTGGAGCAAGCTCAGGGCACAATCCTGCACAGGCCCTTGTGCGGTGAATAAACTAAATGTGACTGATTACGAGCTTTCTATCACTAATTAAAACCATCCAAGTTCTGAGTTCAAAATCTGTCACATGCAAATTCCAAGGTAAAGCTAACACAAGAGTACCACTTTTCTTTTACCTTTAGGACGTCTTTCTTTGCAGAAACTAATTCTGCAAAAATCTAGATACACTATACAGTGAGAATACAAAGCTCTACTCATGCTAGGGTATTAGAGCCAACCATATTCTAGAGCTCAGACCTAGTCCTTTTCCCAAAACAGGTCTGAAGAATCCTTCCTATAACTTAGGAAGGCTGGAGTGAAAAATCTAGGCAGCCAAATAAGATTTGTTCTGAACAAAACCCCTTAGATGGAGGAGTCCAAATAAAACCCAAGGGTCCCATCTTCACTCAATCCAGCCTTTAAGACTGAGAACAGATGAAGCCCCTACTAAAGCAAAACAGCATAGAAGTTTTACACAAAACAGGCATTAGGCACTATCACTACATTCCTATCTGACTCCCATGGAGATTACAGTTGTGCAATCCCCCTTAGCGCACACCTTCATAACACCAGGTCAAGAACAATTCCTCAGTTAACTGTACAAATAGGTCCCTAATGTCCACTGTGCTATTACCGTCTAGAATGAACATATATTGCATCAACCAAAAGTCGCTATCATATAGGGAGTCCAATATCTACACCATTAAGGTCTGTATTTAAGGACTGCAAGTGGCAGACAAATGATGCAATTATCATTATCCCATCATCATTTTAATGCATAGACACTATTCTATACTTTCATCTAGGCCCACATATCTGTATAACATTTATAAATATATATATAACTATATATATTCTCATATGAGAATGATACTTGCAATAGCTCAATTATACAAAAGGGTTTTTTTGTAACACAGATTTCAAGTCACAGACCATAAAAACACTGGCATGCATAGGAACAAATGTCTGTGTGGTTAGGTATGACAGCTTAACTACACTGGAGTGGAGAGTGGGTGCTACTAGATGCATGCTTTTTCTTTATTTCAAGAGTGTTGTGGTGCGGGAAGAGAGAACAAGAACTAACGTTGCTACTTCAGACACACATCAATAAAAGGCACGTGGACAATTTGCCAGCTAACAGGATAATAATGTCCTCGGCAGTGTGGATGTGTGAGGGATATGGGCAACACAGGAGGTGGAAGCAATATATGTTTTGATATGCTATAGAGAGAGAGATCCAGGCGAGCTTGAAGAATCTTAAGGGAAATAATGCAGTGATCATTATCATGTGGACATTATAGAAGATGTCAGAGATTTCTTTAGGTCATGAGGACATTTGAGACCACTAAGAGACATAGGCTAGATGTGGGAACTAATTTCCAAAGTAGAAACGGGATTCTGTAGTTTAAGTTTGCTGCTGCAGGAGTAGATTCCCTGGAAGTGCTCACAAAGGGCTTTCCCACTGAGACAAGTGTCACAGTACCAGGCTTTGAGACAGCCCCTTGGATTTATTCGGGGGATGTGCTGCAACTGTGTTGTGCTCAGAGGTCTCCTTTTTTCACAAATGTCCCCATGCCCATGTGCTTTGTGGACAGGCTTGGTAGAGAGACATGTACTACCAAATGAACTCCAGTCTGCTCTCAAGAGATTCTTTTGGTGTCTTGAATGATACATCTCCATATAACTGATGACTGTACCTGTGGTTTGCACAGAAAGAAATTTTCCTGCAGGGAAGAAAGTGTGCCCAGGATGCTGTTTTTACCTGTAGAGACCTGTGTTTAGGGATCAAGGGATCTCTTGGTATCTGCATGTGTGTAGGAGGGGAGAGCTGGGTTACACAGCCTAAAGGCTTAGGATCCTCTGCTGTAAAATGTGCGTGGCCCACTAGAAGGATGCGATCCCTTCCCTTGTGTCCCCTCGCAATGGCTCTGCGAGAGGGAAGGGATTCACATTTGTTTGCTGTTCTCCATTGAAGTCTACGTAGGGGGAAGGGGGAGAGAAGAAGACGTGCAGATCATGCAATGTTATGTATCCTCGGATAACAATAAACCGCTACCGAGCAAAGAAGGCAGCCGCCGTCCGCCTGATCCCGCTCCGGGAGGCACGGCACGGCACACCCCGCTCCCACCCCCTCCTCCGGAGGCGCCGCACTGACCCACATGTTCCACGACCTTCCGTCACGGGTGACACGGGCAGACGACCCCCCGGCCCCGGGCACGTCGCGCTGCCAGCGCCTAGGCCAGCGGCCGGGGCTCCGCGGAGCCCCCGCCACGCCACCGGAGACCGGGCAAAGGAGGAGGTGGGGAAGGGTCGCACGCAGCTAATGGCGCTGGACGGGCAACCAGAAGGGGGGCTGCGAGGGGCGACCCGCCACCCGCCGTGCCGGGGGCTGTCGTGCCGGTCCCCGGGCGGGGTCCGCGGCTGCCCGAGCATCCTCTAGCGCCGTCCCCGCCAACGCCTTACCTACGGTGCGGGATCCGATGCAGCCCATCACTCCGGCGGGGCTCCGGGGAGAGGCGGCAGCCTCACCAGCGAGTAGGCGGAGAAGGTGGGGAGCGGTGGAGGTCGGAAAGCAGCCGGTCCCTTCAGCAGGAGATGCCGGGATGGCCCAGCGGGGACCGGCGCGGGGTCATGGTCAGGTACGGGCGCGGGGTGCCCCCGCCGGGGCGAGGCGGGCGGGCGGAGAGCCCGCGGGCCAGGCTGTCATCTGCCCCCGCCGCGCCTCCGCGCTTTGTTCCGCGCCCCGCGCGGCTCCCCGACCGCGGCCGCGTCGTCGCCGGTGCCACTGCCGAGCCCCCGCCGCCCGCCCGCCCCCCGCTCCCAGCTCCGCGCTCCCGGCTCCCCGACGGGGGGCGGGCTGAGATTGGGTAAACAGCTCCGGCCCGGCAGCGCCGCGCCGATTGGCTGCCGCCCTCCGCGGCCCGGGGAGGGGAGGCAGCGCCGGCCGGGCCGCCCCTCCTGCCCGCGGGGGGCACGGGGCGCGCCGGCGGCGGGGCGAGGCGAGAGACCCCCGGCGGGCGGGCGAATGGGCAGGACGGGACAGGACAGGTGCGGGCGGCGCGGGGTGGGGATGGAACGGGGGGGTGGTGGTTTGCAGCGTCGCGGGGCCCCTCCCACTGGCCTGGGGAGAGGAGCGGGGAGGGGCGGGCACAGGTGAGCGGCGGGTGGTGCCGCAGGCCGGGAGCCAGGGGGGGAGAGTAGAGCAGGCGGGGGACAGGCGGGTAGGGGGCTCGTCTCCGTCCCAGTGAGAAGCAGCAGCAGCAGCAGCAGCAGCAGCAGCAGCAGCAGCAGCGAGGGGCACGGGGGAATAGATGGAGGGATAGAGGGAGAGATGGAAGAAAGGATGGAGGTATGGATGGAGGCAGGCGGCGGCGGGCGCGGTTTTCCCGGTAACTACACTTGCGGACCCGACTCAGTTACCGGCAGCCCCCCAGCGGCCGTGCCGCGCCTCCCCCGCGGCGCGCCCGGCGCGCTCCCGCCTGGCTCAGCCGGCCCGGCGCCGTCCCGGTGCGGTCCCGGTGTGGTCCCGGTGCGGTCCCCGGGAGCGGCCCCGCCGCAGCCCTGCCTGCGGGGACTGCGGGAGCCGCCGAGGGGCGGGCGGCCCGCGGAGCGGCCCCAGCAGCGAGCTCGGGCAGGAGGACGGTGTTCCCCGCCCGTTCTGCCCCTGGCCGTGCTGCGGGGCTCGGGGCCGCGGGGCGCAGACGTGCGGCGCCGCCCGGCATCTCTCTGCCCGTGGCCCCGCAGGTCGGTGAAGGAAGCTCATCCCTGAGGATGATTGCTGAGGCCTTTTCCACGTCCTCCCCGCTAACATGGCAGTGAGGAGGGATCTCTGCAGATGGAGAAGGTGTGGTTAGGTCAACTCCCTTCACAGCCCAAATTCTTCCTCAGCTGATGGCACGAGCAACAGGCAGTGTCCTCCTTGCCCACTTCCCCTCCACCACAGTCTCCCCTCAGTCTGCCCATTCCACCTCCACTCTCTGAAATGCTCAGGATTTCTCCCTGGTCCTTTGTGCATTCTTCGCCCCCAAAAGCCTCTCTGATCTCGTCAGCATCCTTCCATTCATCTCTAGTTAATGGCAAATTGAATTTTGTTGATCCCAAATGAGCTATTTTGATCTTATCCTTGGGCCTGGAAAATTCAGGTTTTGTCAGCATTGCTGAGAAGTCACTCAAGACAGCTGAACAGCCCTCATTAATAGCAGTACCAGGGAATATGTAAGTTCATTCATTCCCATGCACAACTTACAGTCAGCCTAAGGAAGGAAAAAAAAATAAAGAAAAGGACTTCAGGCATATCATATTTTGCCTGACCCTCTGAAACAATAAGCAGGAAGTCTACTCATACAAACTAAAATTTATATAGGAAGGAAATTTATGCAGGCAGGGGAAAAAAAGCACTGTCTGAATATATGCAGCTGTTGTATCTTTTCCCTTTATGGTATCGAAGATAGTACTATGTATGATGAACATGACACTGCTGAAGTGTAGGCAATCATAGTCTTCTCCTCTCTGGGTGCCCGAGGCCAGTCTGCTCTGGTGCTATGATGCTTATCACTGGGTACAACACATTAGATCTCTGCTGAGGATGAAGTTTTTCCTGAAGTAAAATTCTTTTCCTTTCTCACTCCTCCTTCCACCTCCCCCATGTATTTCCAAACCTATCAGTTTTCATCTAGTCTTTTTGAATGACTCACTGAAGATACTTTTCTCAACGTATCTGCACTCTCGAAACCCAGGTTATAAAAATACCAGGGAACCATAGGTCTAGCAGAGCTTCCCGTTAACCAGAGGTGTTTCACCATCTCTAAAAAGCAGATTTATATTGACTTGGAAGGCTAAATACAAGGAAAGGGGAAACAAAAGCAAATTGCAATGGGAAGAGTGGTATATTAAGACCCAAATCCTGTTTCAGATAAATGTTTTTCACTGCCTGGCCAACTGTTGTATCTGCAGTCTCCTGTGGACAGATCGATCAGGACAGCTGTCCTTAGGAGTTTCACCAAACTCCACCAAACAGCATTTGCATCTCATCCTGGCCTGAGAAGATGTATTACCGACACAGCTGTGAGGAATCCCTTTTCCTCTGTTCAGAGAGAGTCTGGTTTCATCTTAATCCCCTTCTCTCTCTCACCCACCCACCCAATCTAAATCTGTTCCTCAGTGAAGCTGCTTTTTGCACTGTGAGTGATCTCTGCTGAAATGAAGATTTCAGGTAAGTCGCATTGATTCTTCTTAATTCCCCCTGCATGATGCTTTAGCTTGTCTATCACTTTATCTCAAGCTTAAAGTCACACCCCAGGTCCTAGCAAGTGCACATTTGGCTTTCCTTTCATTAAGCTACAATATCATTTACATCTGCTCTGACTTCTGCCTCAGGGTATGATTCTGCAGGCAGAATCCTGGCACTTACCCTACCTGCAAAACTTCTTTCCAGTTCTTGATGGATTTGTCTTCTGATGCTTTAGTGAGCTGATAGTTTACATAGGGATCTGGCAAGCACCCATGCTGCTGCAAAGTAAGTGTCAGACATGCACAGCAGAAAAAAGGAACTGGAGAGAAGGAGGATTATACCCGAGTGTCCATTCATTCACTCCACAGAACTATTGGCCTGTCTTGTGGCTGCCTCACATGTCCTGATGCCACAAGCTCCCCCCTTTTTTAATTTGGAATCAATATCACTTAGCTGCTGGAAGCAATACCTATCTTGGCACCTACAGCCATGCTTTGTCTGCCATTTTTAATATAGTCAATTTAATGAAAGGATAGACTCTTCACCATCCTTTGGTTCTTAGTCACACCTTTATTTATTATGGACCATGTTTACATGAGTCTCCATATTTAAAGCAAATTTCATTCTCATTAGAATTTGAGAAGACTTTGCTAGACTATCATCTCTCACCTTTCACCCAGTTGCTTGGCTCTTCTGTACAGTAGGTTCTATGCAATAGGGAGCTCATCATCAGTGAATAGTTTCTAGGTTTTAACAAGCCAATAACTAACTTTCTAAAATCAGTTAAAATATGTTTATCATACAGTAGCATAAGAAAAGTATCTATTTTACATTCTGAATCAGTACATGGTTTCATGAGAATTATCACCTAGGAAGGAAGTGACAGGACTGCATCTCTGAACAAGGGACTGAAACAGAGCATAAGTCTAACTGTCCCCCACAGTTTGTCCTTGCTTTTCCTTAGCAACAGTATTCCCACTGGTGCTGCAAGGAACTGGAGGTAAATGACAGAAAATAAATGGTTTTGTTTTCTTTGAAATACACTTTGACAGGCACTAAGTATTTTCTCTAAGCATTGTGGGTACTTTCCTGAACAATGAGGCTATAATTTCATGTAGGAAATTGTGTACAAAATACCTTTGATAAGTGCTCATTTAAATGCTGGTCTGAAAGATCTTTGAAAATAAACATTTTCATACAGGGTTGGGAGAGAGAGATATTTAAATGTCTAGAGAGACACTTGATCCTTAACATAGCTGGGTATCTCAAAGGAAGGAGCAGTAGAAAACAGCCACTTGCAACCTCCTAAATTGTTTGTATGATGGATGAAATTATGTGCCTCTCTGTTTATTGCAGAGCTGTAGACCTCCCTTTCCACAGCCCCTGTTGTGAGAGGCGTGCTGGGCAAAAGAGAAGGAAGGTTTGACCTCTTGTGGGGCTGTGGGTCACTGCCTTTAGGAACTTCTGTTTGCAGAGCAGAGCTTCAGTGCTGCCCAAACTAGGTCAAGGATGCTGGTGGAGGAAGTGCAACATAAAGCTCCCTTGACCTTTTTCTTCCTCCATTCCTGCACCTTTGTCCTGAATGCAAGAGAGAAATTGAGATGCCATAATCAACTCAATAAGCATGTGCTCCTAGGCAAGGGCCACCTATTTCTGGAGTTGTGTGCCAAGGTGAGTTGGGAACAGACAAGCATCCATGCCTCCAATGGTCTCTTCCCGCCCTCTGGCATTCAGTCCGAGTGGTCACTGTAAGTCTGAGCAGGAATGAGTGAGGAGGAAAACATAATTCCAGCAAAGCCAAAGATAGTGACCTTGTGCCTGGTAGAGGGGCTGGTAACAGCAGAGAGTAACGCAGTTTTAGATTAACTTCTAAAGTTAATCTAAAGAAGAAGTTTTAACAACTTCTTCTAAACCCACTCTGAGGCCTCTGTCATAAACCTGGAGACTGGCTTATGCTGTAAATTGCTAACTTCTTGTTTGTGTTTTAAGAGACAGCTGTTCAGCAGTGTTTATCTTTTCTATAAGCCATTGATGAATACATTAAACCTATTTTACCAAGTGTTCCCTATATCTCTATATAAATATAAAGATCTTATAAATTATAAATACCGGAACAGCATCTTCCTAAGAAACACTGCTTATAAAATACAGAGCTATTGTCACTGTCATATCTGCTGAGTAAATTTATTCTTTTCATCAATTAATTATCAGGGATGCAGATTATATCACAGTAGGTAATGTGCCCCTGTCATCTCCCTTAGCTACCACTTAAACGAGTTAAAATGAAAAAAATACCAATATAAATCTTGCCAACTAGTGCTCCACTTCCAAGTAAACATCACCAACCACAAAATATGTCTTCCTTCTGTCTACTCCTGTCCCCAGAGGTGTCATTGGGAACCATGTCTATCTTCCCATGAAAAGGCTCTGAAAAATGAATGTTCGCCGCCTTCTGCTTCTCTGATGCTTTTTAAAATCCTTATGTAATATCGTGTGACCAACTACTATCCCAGAAAGACATGGAGAAACTTCCTACATGCTTCTTGCAAGATGTGTCTTCAGCTGTGGAAAATATACAGAGGCCTATGAAGTTCATGAGTAGGAGATGTTTACAAAAATAGTATCTATATCAGATCTATAGAGGCAGAAGTCATCCTCCGGGGACTGTAGCTCCAATATGCTTCTCTTCTGGCCTCCTTCCACTGGCAGTTTGGATTCCCCAGCAAAAGCTACTTCTGGCAGAGATCTCAGTAATTGCTTCATAGAAGTAATGGATAGATGCCATAAGAGTTAATTCTACATCAAGCTGTATTAGCTACTGATAGGATTTTCATGTGGACCAAAAAGGAAATGAGATAGCAAAATGACTCATATAGTTGTTCAGAGCTCCTTTGGTGCAAGAGACAAACAGAAAGGCTTTTTATGAGGTTTAAAGAATGAAAAAAGCAGTGTCAATGTAGTTCAGATCCTGAAAGTGGTGCAACTTACCTGACATAAGTGAAAGGCTGGGTCCTTTCAAGCTGGGAAAATATTTGAGGCTGTGTGAGTCAACTGAAGATTAGAAGGGACAACAGATGGAGAAAGGTAGGATATGTTTGCATTGCATATTGTGATATAAGCTCATGCTTACCTACACTCACATCTGAGCAAACGCGATCTTTTTCCGCCTGCACCCACAGCTCATAACTTCTAGGAGAGCATATTAGTTCAGTGCTGAGATAGAACTAATCAATACAAATAATCAGTACCTCAATAGTGTATTTATCAAAAAATCCTCCTGGGTATTTTGTCCTATATTGCTGAAGAGAGGTAATAGTGAGTGCCAAAACATTATTTTCCTCTCTCCTTGCGTGGTGAGTTCTCGAATTGGCCTGTGCTGCCGAAGCAGAAACATGTGCTTTGTATATCCTGGCATGATCTATTGGAAACTGAACATTGACAGAGCGTCCCAAATTAAGGACAGTCTTACTCAGAGGAATTCAATACTTTGATGTTAGCCAGATACCTTAAAAACACACTCATTTCAATGCAAGTTGAGATTCTTAAAAAATGTATTTCTGAAACAAATTTTAAGAATTTCTGCAGTGGAGAGGTATGTCATCCCCAAACATAAAGTGCAGGCAAACAGTGGGCTAGCTGTAATGTAACAATAGACAGGACTCACATGCGTACTTTGCTGCAAGATCCCTGTTATGTGACCTCGCTTAATTTGGTGGTATGTTATTAAAATGTAATCAACTTTCTGTATAACACATGGGTTTGACATATTGGTACACAAATAAATGTTCAATACTCAGTGTTCGCCGTTCTTTTCTCATCTTGATACTTGCCTTCCATTAGTTTTTCTTAGGAATTTGTAGCTTCAGAGTTTTTCAGAACATTGCTGTTTTGTAGGTTTTTACCAAGTGTAATATTCACTCAGAGTCTTCATCCATGTTTTGATTTTTATCCAGAGTCATGCAGAAGTGTCGTGCTCTGTTTTGTATATATTAAGATCTCATTTTCATACAATTCCCATTTCATGACTTTACAGAAAATACAGAAAAGGAATTTACCATCTGGGACTGTGGTGGTGCAGCTTGCTCTGTTAGCATTTCACTGATACCTTTGTAGCACACTGACCTACTGCATGTGAGCATGCATCATCTTCCATTTGAGCATGGAGAACCATTGCTCTCTGGAACTGCAGCTCAGCATCAAAGAATTAGCAAGTCTGCTTCATCTGTCACAAACTTCACCCACTCAGCAACACCATTCTGGCAAGTGTCTTTCATGAATCTATTCTGCATCCTCATATGTCCTTACCTTGTGTCTAAACCAGCTAAATGCCTGCTACACACAGAATGAGACTGAAAGTATTCCGGGCCTGTTCTCTCAAATTCCAGTTTTTTCCACCATGGCCTGGGGCTTTTCCAGCAGCAAGTGAAGTGGGAAGATAAGTGATTTCAGATAAGGCACTCCTTCCCACTCCCTCCCTGCCAGGAAGGGCTCAGCAGATGCTAACAAATGAGGAGGAAAAAAGAAAGGAAATTCCAGAAGTGTTAAAAAAAAGGGAATTTGTTGAACCTCTGGCAGTCACATTGAGAATGTCAAGGTTCCTCACCATCAGGTAGGTAGTGCCAAGAGGGAAGGTCAGAGGAGGTGGCTTTGGAGGGTCAAAAAGGCTACTTGATATGCATTAGAGAAACAGACACCACCCATGACATAAATGTGAGGTGTATATTAGAGTGCAGACATCTTTGATGCAGTCTGAGTCTTATTTTGCCTTTTTTAAAACATTTACTTAATTCTCTACTGAATGTCTCATTTCCCAACAGTGAAATATACAGCAGCTACTTCTGCTAAATGTCAGTTGAATCTATACTAGTGGTGTTGCTCAAACTGCATTTTTAAAAATAATCTGCAAGCAGTTAATGTGCTTTTTAAATTCTCAGTGTTATGTAAAAAGGCACAATATTTTTAGCCTTACAAAATATCAGTTGTCATCTCCTCACTTTCTCCCTTTGATATATTGGAGATGGGGGACTAGAAGCTCAGAGAAACTGTGGATACTCACAGTTTTAAAAATACATTGTTGTTTGTTTTTTTTTTTTCCTGCAATGTGCTTCTGGAGTTTTACAGATCTTAATAAAAAGATACAAAAATACCCTAAACCTTAAAAGCAAGTCTGAACAAAGAAAGTACTTATTGTAAAAGCTAGAGATTCTGTCCTCACTGCCAAATTCTTAAGTCTGGAATAGTGACAGTATAATGTATCCTGGAGCAAAATATTAACTTAAACTGTTCGCTCATGCGCTGACAGAATGGCCCTCACATTTTAAAAAATCTCCAGAAATTGCTCTCTAACATAGAGAACACAGCTGTTGTGAGTAGGCTCTGGCAAATCAACATTGACTCAAACTATTTTTGGAATCAAGTCAGGCCTGCTGCTGTTTCTGGAAGATGTGAATACATCTACCTGCTCTGCTCTGCTGTGCTGCAGTCCATAAGGAATATGGTGGGTTCCAGAATGTTTCCCTCTGTGCTTATTTGGAGGTGACCTTTCCGTTCCCATCTGTTTACAAGTCTTCTGAGGTCTAATGTCTTTCCCTGCTGACAACCACCTTAATAAGAACATTTGGACCTTGCTTCTTTCTGTATTCTCTACTGAAATTTGAGGAACAGGATCTCAGAAGAGTCTTGCTGCCTTTTCTTCTTACTGTCTTGCAACACTTGACATCCTGATGGTACCTTCTGAGTAGGAGGCATGCCCTATCAGAAGCAGCCCAGCAAAGAAGAGCATCCTGACCTCAAACCTGTTGTGATCATAGCTGATCCTTGAAAGAAATCCACCAATGCAATTCAAGAGGTGGCTACTGGAAAAATAATGTTTATTGTTGCACCACACACTCTGTGGAGATACTATGTATCAATACTGGACTTAAGCAAAGGCTGTTAGCTTTTATCTGCTCTCACAGAAGGTTTGCTCTTCAGTTCTTTCTACCTTCCCAAAATTGTTTTTAATCTGCAGTAGGTAAGAGAACATTTATCATACTTTCATATTTACTACTTCTTCCTCAGTTTACTGTCAGCTGGGAGAAAGAGTTGAAACTATTGTAGATGAGGAGAGTTCTGGTCTTGTGGTCCCTCAAGTCACATAAATAATTGCTATGTTTAGGAGAGTGGCACCATGTAACTTGAAATTCCATTCCTTGCTTGGAGGTGCAGGGATTTGGAGAATAACAATTTTCGAGTCAAAAGCAAACACAAATGGAGACTCTAGGACTCTGGTATAATCTGGTAAGACAGCAAAGCAGGATGCAGCATCAGTGTAGGCTGAAAGACTAAATGAATTCTGAGTCTAATGAGGGAGTCATTCCAGCCGAAAACCAAGCCAGGGGCCTGAGAATATGCAACATTAAAGAGTAAAAAAGTCTACAATTTAGTGTCCCTCTAATTTTAACTGCAAGCTAAGGTCATTAAGCTGAATTTAGGTTTTTGGCACCAAAAGGCTGATATCTGTCTCTGATGTCTGGCAGTGATAGCATCTGAGGAGTCAGAGACAATGAACAGCATCAACCAGACCAGACCTTCATCCATATTCTTCACAGATGAACTGTACCCTCTACCCTTTCCTGTCCCATTCCTCAAGAAAACTTATTGCAGTATGTAGTCTAGCCCTGTGGAATGCCTCCTTTTGAAATCTAAGAGGGAATGGATACAGGTAGTATCCCATATGTACATTTAAATGTGGACCTCTATGCAGATTTCCTCTGTTTTGGATCAGGACAAAATGGGAGCAATTTTACTGCATTGGAGAAATGCAGGCTGTCCAGTGTGTCCCAAAGCAAGTGGACTATTGGAACTAAGGCGGCTCCCTCCCTGTCAGGTTATTTCATCTGAGGTTGCACTGCTTGCCTGTACATTGATTGGATGTAATGTGTGGCTCTTGCAATGTCTCAAATCTGCCAAGCTGTTACACTAATCCAGGTTATTTTCTAGTTTACTCCAAAAACATTTTCAAACAAATATTCCTTTTTTATCAAATCTCATTTTTGTTTTATATTCTTAAAATAGAAGCTTGATGACCACCTTGGGATGATATAGTTTTGGAAAGCATGGCAATAAATGCCAAATAAACAGGAAATAAAAGGATTATTGGTGGTAAGACCCAGCAGTCCTTTTCATGGCATTGAACACTACATACCGAGGCATTGGTAAGAAAGCTGTTGGTGGGAGGCCCAGGAAAAGCAACACTGATCTGGAGAAATAGCTTTGTAAATATCCCATTCATTTCTTTTGGCAACTAACACTGTCTCTGAAACCATCAGTCATTCTGCAGAAAATGGTTTTATAGGGCTTTCCTTATAACCTGAGCCTATTTTCATTAGCAACCTGATGAGATTCTGCTGGCTTAGTTTCCAAACATCTTTCACTACCTGCTGCTCCCAACTTTTAGCCAGCACTGTCACAGGCATTACCTGGGCCTCAAGAATCCCAAGGAAGAAGTATATTTGCATATGAAGCCTGAACACAGATGACCTTCAGGCAGACTGCAGCTGGCCAAATGCATATCTAAAGTGGTTTATATGGAAACTGAATGCTCTGGATAAGGTTAAAGGTTCCAAATGACTTCTTTCATAAGCCATGGAAGCAAAGGGGCGGGAAGTTTGCCAAGTACCTCGGAGACATGGTCATCATATTGACCTTCATCAAGGCAACTGAAGAATGCCTTGGAAATGCATCTCCAGAAATGTACATCCAAGCTGAGTTTTTTAATCACAGAATCTTAGAATCATTATGGCGGGGAAAGACCTCTAAGATAATGTTATGTCCTGAGCCTTTGCCCAGGCATCTGCAACTGACAGGCAGGGATGGTTCACAGTTATGGGAGGAAAAGCACTTTGCATTGGTACAAAGTGGTGGGAGTCAACTGATCCAGAATTTAGGCTATGTCTCTGTCATGCCAGCACACCTCTGGAGAACCCAATGTGCAAATAGTCATTGACTTGGTAATACAGAGTGGAACGCTTTTGAGGACCTCTCCTGCATTTTGAACAATAGCTGTGGCTACTTATGCTCTCAGTGTCACTTAGACTAGCTACAAAAGCTGGCAATGGTGGCCTATAATTGCTACTACCCTATCCTGAACAGTCAGTGCTTGATCACTTTGCTGCATACAGAATGAACTTAGCACAGATCTTCAGTAAGACCTGTCACACCCTTATATTTTCAACCTACTGAAAATCATACTCTGCTTGAAAACCAGCTCTCTCCTGTAAATTGTCACTTGTCACAGACTCCTAGCTGCCACTGAAAGGACAGTGGCTCCACTGCAAGTCCCTGCTAATTATCTTGACAATCCCATGAAACAAAGATTTTTGTCTGGTCTGTAGTTATCCTTTTATTCATACTGTCAGTAAATTAACTAGCAGAGGTAGTAGTAGCCACAGGTACTAAGCCTAGGAACTGCAGGAAACTTCATATAGCCCCACACCTTTTGCTTTTGGAAAGCAAGGAAAGCTGTACTCAAATGGTGGTTTACTGTGCAGCTTGTGGGTAACATTTGGCCTGGGGTTTTTTCTTTTTAATTTTTCCCTTTTTTTTTTTTTTTGCAAGCAGACTGTTGGACCATATGCCTGTATTGTCTATTTGGTTGGTTTGTTGCTTTGCTCCAGGCCTTGGTTCCGTGATCATCTATACTGTGTACATACTAGGTTTTGCCAGGACTCTAATCTGGAGTTAACCAATTATTTGGTTTTACGAGAGGGTAGTTTGCTTCAGGATCCACACCCTATAGATAATGCAGGTGGGGACTATACCAGGCTTCATTCTTACTGACCAGAGCAATCTGCTTGTGCATGCCTAATGTACTCACAGGTCCAGCATGCCCTGACATATGCATGGCACCTCTTCGTAGGCATCACAGCATTAGCAGTCTCCAAAGGCTGTCTCTGCTTATCTGGCTATCCCAGTTCTTCTGCAGGAAAATAATAGCACTGGGATAGAAAGGGGCCATCTGTGGACTGGACTGATTAGGATCCTGTCCCAAGTTAATGTTATTGAGACTGTAGCTTGGCATCTCTGTCCCTCCAGTACCAAGCAGATGCACCAGATCATTCCCTGGGAAGCCACTACACAACTTCTATTGTATGACATAGGAGGACACTCAGTATGATATCAAGAGAGTTGAGAACCTGCTTTTGCCTCTCAGCTTTGTCACAGGGAGGATGCAGGGAAAGAACCCTTTTCCCAGGATGTGGCACCCTCCCCCCGACACATATACTGGAATTATTTCTGGGACTTTTTTTCAAAATCCCCTAGGATGCAACACAGTGAGCACCCAGGAGTACCTGTGTCTATTGATTACACTCATTTGTAGGAAGGAGCATGGCCTGTTTGTGCCATGCTTACAAGACTACATAATGGAGTGAAGAAAGGAGACTTCTGCACGAGAGCATGGCACTCGGGTGGAAAGAGGCTTGCACTACACACAGGAACTCTTAAATTAGCAGGCTGACAGATGTGTTTCTTTGATAGTCACTTCTGACAAGCAGTAATATTTGCCATAGAACATCCAAATATGTCACCGCTTGTCTTGCTGGTGGCAATGGGTGGGGCACACAGTTGAGGAAATGGTAAGGGTGCCTTGGAATGTGGAAATGGCAGCTTTCCGAGCAGAATGGGCTCTGGCGGCCGTCTATACTCAACCACACACATGGGCATGCCCCAGGAGCTATCTCGTAGTTTTCCAGAGTTGCAGGACAGGTCGTATAGCACCTGAGGGAAGAGATATCCACTGGGACAGCCTGCTTGCATCCCTCATTCCTCGGGCACAGAGCCCAGCAGCAGTGAGCAGTAGGTGTGGGAGCGCCGTGTGAGGGGAAGCCTGTCAGTGAGCAAGCCCCAGGAGCCATGGAATTGCAGGCCTGCTGCCATGCTGAGAAGCAGATAGAGGCAGCAGCTTGGCAGGAAATTTTGGTGGAAGGAGATAAGGAAACAGCAGTGGCGATTCATCTGGGAGCTGCACCTCCTGCTCAGGAGGCCCTACTATGGCTCTGTCTAGGAAAGATCTGCCAGCCTTGCTGAAAATGGAGCTTCTTCCCTGGACAGACACCACACAGTCCCCTGTTCTCCTGGGTGCCTGGCTGCCATGACCAGTCATGTCCTGGCATGACCAAGGTCATACCACAGAGATCCTCTGCTCTCTCTTATTTGTATGTGTCTGATTTGCCTCATTAAAAAAGCATTTCACAGGTTTGGATTTTTTTCTATTTACAGCTTTTGGCCTATCCTAGTGTTTTAGTCAGGGTAATCTAATTGTATGTGTGTGGGCGGAGTGGCCTTTTGAAGTATGTACATATGTGCATGTGTACCATGCAATACCTTCACAGTGGGATTTGAGGGCCTTCAGTTGCAGAGATCACAGAGGCTCTCTGTAGCTACTAAACAGCTCCCCTTCTTGGGGAGGGACACTTCTGATGTGTGCTTTGAAGAGAACCAGCAAGGACACACTAGATATATGTTCTGGGCTGGTCATTCAGGGACTTCACAATTCGTGACCTTTGCAAATAGCATTCCTGACTGTGTGCCAATTTCACAGATGCAGGAAGATGACTAGGCTCATAAGGACTGCTGTCTCTTAAGGCTCTGCTGTCCCCAGCACAGCTCTCTGTGTTTGGCACACAGCTGTCAACACACATCCCACAAGGGGACTGAGGCACTCCAACTTGAGCAGCACTCCTGCTGTTTGCTCAGGAGAAAGGCAGCTCTGCACACGTCATGGCCTCCCTGAAGGGTGTGAGCAGCAGCCGTGGCAGGTGACAATCTGTGCCAGATGTAGTCTTTCACACGGAGAACGCACTTGAGGGTGGGAGCAAGGAGCATGCCAGGAGAGGGACGTGCTGTGGGAGCACAACAGATCCTAGGAGACCTCTTAGCAAGGTGCATTACATAGAATCATGGAATTGTTCAGGTTTGAAAAGAACTCTAAGTTCATTGAATCCAACTGAAACATCTGTTGGTCCATATGGATGCAGGCAATTTGCTGCAGGTGGTTCTGCCCTGGACAGTGCAGGCCTAACCTCATCTGTACCTCTCAGCCCGGGGACCAAAGCAGATCCATTACATATTCCTAACTCTTCCAGTAGGCCCAGACATAGCATTTAATACAGCACGGGGAAAGCTTATTAAGTGGTAACTTAGCAATAATCAGTAAAATGTGGTTAGACTAAACAGAAGTTATATGACTAAAGCATCAGAGATTTGACACAGATATAAGTCAGAACTTTTCACTGCTTAGGAAAAACATGGACTCCTGTATGGCATCACTAATTGTTAACTAACTCACGCTGAGAAAAAATGGCACTAATTGATCTGTTGATATGAATAGAAATTATACAGATACAGACATTTTGCGTTATTAATAACTAAAGCACCCTGTCCAGATTCCAGATTGCTTTCTTCTGACATTAAACATATATATAACACAAAGATTCCCATCTGCAGCTACCTGAACCCTACCTGGCTATCAGAACAGATTTTCTGCCCAACGAGTTTAATTCCCTGATAGTGTTCTGGCAAATAATCCTTCCTTTTGCATTCAAGGACTTATTTTTTCTTCTCTTACATCTATTTTTATTTTCATTTTATAGGCATCACTGCTAGCATACTCCTCATCCCAGTGCAGTATATGAATTTGCCACATCACTTCTGTGTGGCATTATTCTTTACTCTTTGCATTACATGACTGAATTACCAGTGAAGATTCTTTATACCTGTTTCCATTAAAACTTAGTCTCTCTGAGGTGAGTACCTTGAACTCTAAGCATTTCTAAGCTTTGATTTGATAGCCAGTACTGGGGCTTGCATCCTGTCATTTGCCTCAAAGAAGCACCCAGCTAGAACTTTGTCTTCGAAATGCCTCCAACACCTGCTTTGTAGCGGGCTGTCACTTCACCCATTGTGTATAGTAGCATTCGCATCACAATATCATCCAAATATTAGATCGCTTTTAGTCATGGTATGGGACAAACAAAGTGATTTATGCAGAGGGTTGCTGCTAATTCCAGAAATAACAAGGTCTGGCACAAGCTAAGTATACCTGCTAATCCATCACTGTACCCAGACAGCTAAATGCCTCTTCAGGACTAATATTTTCCTTCAACTAATGAGAGTGACTACAACTGTGTACATCTTAGGGCTCTAATTTTCATTTGCAGCGGGAAAATGTCTACTCTTTCAAGCAAATAATTCCATGAAGGAAGGTTGCTAGCATAAGGAGATTCTAATTCTCTTCCTGGAGCAGTCAGAACTAACATAGGGAAGTCATCTTCATTTCTCATTACAAAGCACAAACTTTAAGTCTACTATATGGCAAGCATGAAATCAGATTAGCTTACCCCTGTGTACTGATATATTCTGATTTGAGAAGTCTACCTTTCACATGTGCAACCTGCAAAACACCTCTGTTTCGTATGTGTTTCTTCATAGTGAGGAATTAATACAAAATGCCTAAGACAATCTGCTTTTCTTATTCCCACTTTGCTTTATCTGCCTTCATGAACTTTTAACATCACCGCATGGGTGAGACAAACATGCAAGCATCTGGTTTTATGGGGATGTGACCAGAAAATATGAGAGCACAGATCTTTTTTTCATATTCACTCAGCACTTTTTTAATCTCAGTCTGAGACATTCTTTGTTTCCTCTGGAGTCAAGGCTAGCCCAGGGAACAGCAGCAGAGTTCTCTGACGTCAGGCTGATCGTGTAAAGGGTGCTGTGATGTTCCAGAATTTGGTTAGCAATTCCGCAGTGAAATGTTTTTAGCTGTGCACTGACATCTTTACCTGAACGAGAGGGAAAAGGACTCACTGCACTAGAAAAGTGACGGTCTTAGAAGACTCAGCACAGAGATACCTTCCTTATCCTATATAATTACCTTGTGCGTTAATCATAGGAGGTAACAGAGCTGATGCCATGCCTAGAAAAGCAGCAGTAACTCCAGGGTTATTTAGAACCCACAGAAGAGCTATATATGCCTAAGTTTAGAGCTATATATCAATGGTTGCAGCTATGTGAGGAGTGATATGCTCAGCATTGTTGTGGGTGGCATTTTCATATGGTATGTAACACTGAAAAACCTCAGAGAGCCAAATTTTTCCAACTGTATCATCTGGTTAAATAAAAAGATATAACTTCTTTGTACAAGCCTTATGTGTAAAATTAAAGACTTGTTTACACTGGATTTAAGCCTTGGATGAATCTCTTTGCCTAGCTCTCTAGTGTGAGCATTTTGCAATAGTGCAGACTGGGAGTCTCACTGGTGTGGTTTGTGGCTTACTCACCCACCTGCGAGTAAACTACCAGTACTGAAAGATACCTGTGTTGATAGGTAAGTCGTAGGAGCAGAAAAACCACAAATCCCTTGAGCATTACCAAATACAATAATTCTCCAGGGTTATTAACCCCAATATTAAGACCAAATTCCAAAGTCCAAGTACAATGATTTCTCCTAGCACAGGAATTCTGTCTTTATTGGTGCTCCTCCTTCCTGAGAGGCTTTGAAGCAAGAAGCAGCAAAGGCTGGGGTTGAAAATTTCATGTTCTGTTGTGCTGGGTCAGGTTGTCCTCGTTCTAGAGCAGGGCTGGAACCACAGCCAGCACTGGGATAAAAATAAAACCGATGTGCAGCACTGGCAATGCAACAAAGCAATTCCTGTGGATAGTATTTGATATAGACCAGCTTATAGCGTTTGCCTTGCAGCCAGCGTAAGGAGAACAAGTCGCTTTTCTGCACGGTGGAGTCATCTGATGTTTGCTTTAATTTCTGGCAGAATGAGGGAGCGTGAGTCAGATGCTCTCACAGCTGGCTTGGGCGAGGAAGAGGCCAGCAGGGACCCTGACTCACCAGAGCCGCCGCATTTCTTCCGAAAATCCAGCTCAGCGACTGGAAGTGAAATCACGGGCTGGGGGCAGCTCCAAGGTTAGGGAAAGCGGGAGGAGCAGGGCTCTATGCGGGGGGCAGTCAGCGAGCCCAGCCCAGGGTCGGTGCCGAGGGTACCGGTGAGAAACCCCGACAGACACGTCTCGCTCGCTTTCTCGGGCAGGCAGAGAACAGCCCCCTCCCCAGCCGGCACAGCCCGGGGCCGCTGCCCCGGCAAGCCCCGTCCCCCCGTTACCTCATTGCCACATTCCCCAGCGAGTGAGCTCAGCTGTGTGCGCAGCCTCGCGCCTTTTATGGTCAAACAACTTTGCCTGGGCGAGGCTTTTTTCGCGAGTTGGGAGGAAGCGCCGGGGCTCAGCCTCTCCCCCGCCTCTCGGTGCTGTTGCCTCTCCTGGCGGGCGGGCCGGGGCAGCCGAGGAGCCCGGCCCCAGCCCCGAAAGCCCCGGCCCCGGGGGTGGCATTTCCCGCTCCCCCAGAGGTGAGTCTCTTCGCTTGGCTTAGCGACAAAGCTTTTGTTCTTTGCCCTGGGGCTGGCGCGGGGCGTGGAGGTGTGTGCGGGTTTCCTGCCGCTCCCGCCCTCGGACAAGAGACCTTCGCTCTCGGTGGGGCTGATTTACGGTCGTGAGGGCGTTTGCCCCTCCGCAGATAGAAGGTTCGCGTGTGTGAGGTGAGTTTTCTTCTCTCTCAGTGCAATGGAGGCGGCTCAGCGCTCCCGCACAGCCCTGGGAGCGGGGGAGAGGGAGGGGGTGCTGCCGGGCTTTACTCGGGACAAGCTCTCTTTTGTGTGTGCATGGATGAGCGAGACACCTCGGGAGCCTTTTTCCAGATGTGTTTGAGAGAGGAATCTGGGGCGCTTTGTGTATGAAATTTACTTAATTTAGGACTTTCTGTCTTTCTGGGAGTGCCATGAGAAAGCGAAGACTTAAGTGCTTGCAAAGTCGTAGAAATTTCTAACGTTTTAAATATGTTTGCGTAGCTTTTTGGAGTTTTTCCTCTCTTTTTTTTCCTCCCTTGCAGAGGGAGGAGGCAAGCCCAGCATCTGTGAGAGAAGTTTGTAACTCCGAATATCCCCCTCCCCCAGCCCGGTTGCTTTAAGGCTCTACCTTGCAGCTTGCATAGCTGACTGACTTTTCTCTCTTTGAAGCTTTGTAGCTTTGGGGCAGGCTCGGAGAACTTTCTGTATGAAAATAAGCATAACTCCTAAATCCCTTGAATCTATTCTTAATACTCTTTTTTTTCTTTTTTTTCTTCTTTTTTCTGTAGTTCTCCTTCTGACTCCCCTCCATTGGGAGGAAGTTGGGAAATAGGGGAAGTGCAGATGCAGTGTATGAAACCACGATGCTGGGCTGGCTTTTACAGGGGCTCCCAGCGTGGCTGGAGCCAAACTGCTTTTACCAACAGAGGTGAAAAATGGCTCTCAGGTCTCTGCTTCCTCAAATTCCTCCTGCTTTCACTACCGCAGGAAAGGAACAGAGCTTTTGAAAGTGGTATCATGGGATCAAATAACTGAAAGCTCTCTGGATGCATAAGAAGTGGCAGACCCACTACGGGACCTCCTGGGAGATGTCACTTGGTTTTGTCCTCCTACTTTTCCTTGCTGTCAGAGAGAAACAGTGTATGAGGCAACTAGGTATCCAGACTGTGTCCTTTGAGGGCATCTTTCTTCTTAGCTCCACTTGAGTCATCTTAAATACTGTTACAGGAGGTAGAAAAATCTCTCCCCTTGGGGAAAATGTGAGGATGAGAAGGATTTGAGATTAGGTCTCTTGGCATCACATTCCCTCTTCCATAGCTTTCACAATCTGCGCCACAGGACTTGCATGAGCTCTGTGTTTCTGCAAAGGCTTAGATGGCATTGGCAGCGCCCCAGGGTTGGGAGGGTAACTCTGCAAGGCCAGCCTTTCTCAGGCGGTTTGGTCTGTGTGGGGGTGGACTGATAAACAGAAATAAGGATGAGCAGGGGCAGCTGCTGGATGGAGACAGCCCTGAGCAGAAAAGGGCCTTAAGTGCAACATAGCATATCGGGAAGTGGGCTTCTTTGGGTTAAGGGAGATAGCATCTGCTGGTAGCAAAGCCAGTGGATTTTTGTGAAGAGACTGTATGTTGACCAGCTCCAGTATGGATCATGGTTAGAAGTGACATTGTCACTGTAGTGTTCTGCTCATAATGCTGTCAAATCTGGTAGGACTACTGTTCCACCATGTGGCTCACTACACCATAGTGAAATAGTCGAGCATGAGGCAGAAGTCTCTAAAGAAAAGCTGGAGGTCTTTTTAATAGCTTCTGGCTGGAAGCTGTAGAATGGAGAGAGTTGGTCAGTCCCTTCTGACTTGCAAGTTTGCTTGACCCCTACAAGTTTGAGGGTTTGAGGACAGACCTTGCTAATTACTCTTCAGCCTTGGCCCTTTCCTCATGCTGGATCAAGTGGGAGATGCTCAGCACAGCTTTTTGGCTAGTGCTTACTGTTTCAGCCTCTTTCTCCCTTTGGAAAGCCCAGAAGATTTTGTCCAAGCATATGCAACTCATCAGCCCTTCACAAAGGGAAGGAAAAGTGCAGCAGCATGGACGTTGTGTTTGTGTTGTCATATGCTTGTGACCTGGAGAAGCTGTGACAGGTTACTATATCGTGCCACACTGCACTGAGTCGTGGGAGCGCTTAGAATGGGGCACGAAGGTCTTATCAGCAGCCAGGGGTAATCGGGGGTGGGCGGATATTTGTGGCACCAGGGCTGTCTGTCCCAGCAGCTGTTATTGTCCGTGAGAGAAGCCGGCAGTGTGGAGGGGCACTGATTTGGACATGCCAACGTGAAATGCTGGCACGGAGCCCCTGTGCTGACGGCAGCCCTATTGTGCTGGGGTGTTAGGAGGGCTATAGGCATGCCAGGCTTTACAACAAAGCGTCTGGCTCCATGGAGGCTTCTCGCACGAGTGAGGTTGTTGGCCTGGGGGAATCCTGGAGATGCGCCTCTTCTCAGGAGACCTGGGGTTCCCCCAGCAGCCAGCTCGGTACGGGTATCCTCCGGCCGCTCGAGCCGAGGGAGAGGGGCAGGTTCACAAGCCCCCAGGAGGCCTGACCGAGGGGAGCCCCGGTTGCGGGGTGCTGCCCGCACCTCTGGCAGCCCAAAGGGGCGGGCGGGGGGCGGTGGCGCCGAGGCGGCATCCGGGGAGCGCTTCCTGGCGGGGGCGGAGCGGGCGGCGGAGCCGCGGCCAGCCCGGCCGTGGGCAGGGAGCAGGGATAGCGGGGGTTCTGCCTGGGGGTGTGACACCGAGGAGAGCCTCACCTGCCCCGTCGTTCTGCCTCCGCCGGCATGGAGGGGCCTGGAGGTAAAGGGTGGGGGGTGCCGGGGCTTGGAGTGGGGGCTGGGGGAGCGTTGCTGGGACTGTCACAGGCTGAGGTCGAGGGGAGCTGTCTGGCGTTATTGGGTAAAGGGGAAGAGGAAATGCTGACTCCAGTTCTGGGGGCACCCCTTGGGGTGCGGGGGATCGCCCTCCTGGTCACCATGATCCCCTTCGGCATGTGAGGCTCTGGTGCAGCAGAGATCTGTGTTTCTCTGTGTCCAGAACCCCTTTGTGGTTAATGCCATCCTGAGTTGAAGTGGTGAAGTATGATGGCTCATTCAAGCTGTCTGCAGTTTCTGTTCCCCCTTTTTCCTCTGCTTAGGCACCTCACCCTCTGGCCTGACTTAAATTCCTATATCCCTCTGTTTCACATTCACATCCTCTCTATTAAGTTCCACTCTGGCTCAAGGATGACTTCATGTAGGTTTCCTCCGTCTTCTCTCCTGCCAGGTGCTGAGAAGATGGCCTCCCCAGGTGCCCCAGGGACCCGCATGACGTCCACAGTCAGCATCAACATTTCTACGCCCTCCTTCTACAATCCACAGAAGAAATTTGCACCCGTGGTTGCCCCTAAACCCAAGGTGAACCCCTTCAAGTCTGGGGGAGCATCAGAGTCATCGCTGCCACCGCCTCCTGGACCTGGTGCCCAGCGTGCTCAGATAGGAAAGGTGGGGGAGGTTCCATCAGCATCCATGTCCCTGCTGGCAGAAGGTAGGTGAGGGTTGGCATGGCAGATGTGAATATGCATTTCTAAATTCTCAAGGTGTGAGATCTGTGACTGGGCTAAACATGACAACAGGGGCATAACTGCTATAAATGATGGATATTCTTGCTGTAGAGGCTGGCAGATTCCAGTCTCAGATATCGAGAATGAGATAAATGGATTAGAAAGGCTTCTCAAAGTACATAGTATCTTCATTAGGAAAGGAGGTGGGAAGGCAGTCCTGCATTGCACTAATGCT